GTATGCTTTTATATTTATTGAGCATTTATTTATTTCTGTATTTATTTTTAAATATGGCAGAGTTGGTCCTCCATACGTGTCAACCATTTTCATAATAATAATAATAATAATAAAAATTATGAATTACCATCTAATGTTTGCATGTAGAAATTTTGTAGGATTTATTTGAGCACTGAACTGCCAACCAATGACTGCAGTTCTTCACTGTAAATATTTTTCATTTTAGATATTTTTTTAACATAGTGTTGTAGATCAACATCATTTGGATGAATTTCAACATAAGGGTGTCTGAAGTACTCAAATTACTCTATAAGTTCAATTGGCTTATTAGACACAAAAAATATGATTAAATATTTTCCATTGGCTAAATTGCAAGGCACCTAAATTTATCTACCATCATCTTTCAAACGGTACATAACCCCTAAATTTTATTTGCTTGCAGTTATTTTATAAATCAGTCGGTTTTCTAGTTTTCCACAACCTATATTTGGAGGGAAAGTTAAAGAAGACTTACCTGAAAGCACAATAAAACTTTTACCAAAGTTTTTGAAACCAATAACTTTAAATGCTTAACATCATCAGAAAGAAACTGTTAAAATATGCCTGTAGCACAACACAATGATGAAAACTGAATTAAACACAATATAGGTTAAAACTCAAGATAACAGAATGTTTATTGGTAGAAATTAGTATTTATTCTATAAATGTTTTTTTGTTTTTTTAGGAAACAAATATCTTAAATTTTAATCTTTTAACCTCCATATTTCAATGTGTGCATTTGGCACAAGTTTAAAACAGAACCTTATAGATTTTGTTGTTATGAGGCAACGGTAATGCTAGTAGTGTATGCATTTTACAAAAAAAAAATATATATATTTTGGTATAGGAAATTATTTTGTTACAATCCTTAAAAACAAAGTTAGTTTATTTAAAACTAAGAACATCTGGGCTAAAACAACTAGCATGACTCTGTTATTGCCATCAGTTTCCTAAGCATGAAAATAAAGTAAAACAAACATGCTGCTCACAAATTATAAGGTTTCAGTTATTTTACATCTCAGATTTGATTGAATTAGGGATTACACAGATCTCCAGTTGGTTTTAAAATCTGGTCTCATTTACAGTAAGAGAGAAAATGAGATAAAATTGGCGCTCATGATGGAAAATGGAGAAATCCTTGACGCCTTACATGAACTAGGCAATCTTCTGCAAGAGGAAAAACATCTCTCAGAACGGCTGGATGAAGAGGCTGACTCGCACAGGTAACTGGAAGGGCTGTTTGCTGAAAGAAAAAACCTCATGTAAACTACGTGACACTATAATTTGACCTCTTTCAAGAAATCAAATGAGCATTTTGGAGGAGCAGATGAAAAGTGCCTCTAGTACGGCCCAAAGTCTTGCTGCTGAAATCCAGCGGGTGAAAGAGCGTTTGGCAAAGCCAAAGGCTTGTGGTGGTGCAGGTATGGAGCATTTTCAGCTTGTTTGTATCCTGCCAATATATAAATATAAAGACTGTCTTCTTTTGTTTGCAGCACAAGCTTCAATTATTGTCCCAGCCAGTAAAGCAAAAAGAAAACCAAGAAAAAAGTAATTTGATGTTTCCAGGGCAAGTTATTCTGTAATAATTGGTGTTTTGAGTCTACATGTATTATCATTATTATTACTTTTTTGTTTGTTTTAAACCAATAAAATCATTTTTTTCCACCAAAGCTACTGTGGTTTGATTCCACCTTCATTTGCATGTCTTGCAACATGCAATGAGTTGTTTGCATGTGGTCTAGCTCTCCAAAGATTTAGGAGAAAGTCTAAGAAAAAAAAAAGAAGGAAAAGACACCTTTTCATTAATGACTTATTTTTAACAGCTGAAAAATCTGTTTTACTGGTTTAAGAGAAGCATTATAGACTGCGACAAAAAATATTCACAACCCTTAATGTTGTGTTAAGACCGCATGTGTGTTTTCGTTTATTTGTCATTTTTACAAATGACAATTTTAAATGCACAAACCTGTACTAAAGAAGCAATAACCATTCTGTCAATTTGCTGAGTTGTTTTTATGTCAGTGGGGTGTCAGCTTCATGAAAAGCTGTATGCATCAAAATTTCGTTTTGTATACACTCTATACAAAATGACAAAATTTGTCTGAGTCTTAAGTCTAAATCTATATACTACACTAGTATATATTCAACTCAAGTAAAGAGTAAAATAGTATTTGGTAAAAAGGCTATTCAAGTACTAAATACCTCTTGAATCCTCACATCCTATTTACTAAAATATGTTTAAAATGAGATGATTACAAAATAACTCCCTACAGAAGAAATGTTTCTGCAAATAGTAACTTTTTAAAAGTAAAGTTTGTAAAATTAGCCCTCACTGTCAGGGCCAGATTAGCAGCCCCAGAGGTCCCTGGGCGTTGTGGCTCACAGGCCCCCCATTCCTGCACCTAACATTATTTATATATATTTGTTGTGTGTGTGTGTCACTGTCTGTTGGTCAAAAACTCAAGAATACCCTTTCCAGTATGAGAAACCAATCTCCCATCTCACTCAAATCAAAATAATACAATAAAATAAATCATCAAGACTAAGCGAGCAAGACTAAAGATTATAAAAATAAAGTGTTCACTGAAATTTACCCAAGCAGAAAGCACGCTGCTACTTCTTCTCAAATGGGAGTCAAAATATAGCAATGCCATCACGCAACACAGCTGAAAACAGTTCACATAAAAAGAGTCAACATGTGAACCAGACCACATCCCATTCAGCAGAAAACAATTACAGCACCACAACCCTCTGTGTCACACCACAATCCCTTGCAAGACACATGCTATACATACAGCATATCAAATTAGTAAAATAAACTTATAACAGAAAGCACAATGGCTCCTTACCTTTAGAGTTCTTCTTTCTGGTCTTTGTAAAGTAAAGTCCAGACCTCTCACCAGTTCAGACTCAGTTGCCATCAAGGACAATGCGTTTTAATTCGTTTTAGCTGTGAAAAGTTCCTCTCTCCTTCACAATCGGATGCAGGTAGTGCAAGAAAAAGTTGAAGAGCAACAAAAATGTCAGGAACGGTAGACTGTTGTCCATTTTTCAGCAAAATCTGCAATAGATTAACAGGTGTGTTATCTTTCACACTACTCACAAAAGACCTAAATTGGATCAGCACATCCGATACAGTATTTTCCAATTCAGTTGGCTATGAAGATGAGGAAAAAACTGGCCCGTTTGGAGAGATCAGTGTTTTAACAGTCTATGTCGAATAGGAGACCAGAACGACCCTTAATGTCCGTATGTATCCAGGTGTTTCTCCTGTTCTGACAGCAAGCTTTCAATAATGACAAATGTCTCAACTTGGAACTTTTTACTCCCACTGAGAACAACTTCATTGTCACCTGTTTCATCATCAAAGATTATTCTTTTACTCACGCGGTGGGTCTCAGAATGGTAGGTTGGGTCTCACCTGTAATAGCCTGGGCTTTTTTTTAAATCAGTAAAGCGCCCTTTTAGTGATGCAATTTAACTATGCAGTGACTACAAAAAGGTGCACTGCAGTCATCAGGTCCATCTCTCTCTTGTGCAAGCCATTGCTCACTAGTATCACCCTTTTAAGCAGAGTACTCCAAAATAAACATCTTAAACCTACTCACTGGGGCTCAATTAGATTCGTAAGGTGATTGGCAGGGGTAAATCACTAAAGCCAGGCATATACTCTATGATTTTTTGCACCGATTCTCTAGTCGTGCGAAGATTTTTCGATCGAGCTGACTTTCAGCCTGAACGTGCATCTTGTAGTGTAGAGGGGGCAACGAGGGGCGATTAATCTCTCACCCCCACCTTCCGATGAGGAATCATAAGGTCGAGAGAAAATCTAACATGTTTGAAATTCAGTCGGCCATCATAAGGTGGTTGTGGGGAAATCGCTCAGTGCGCAAACAAGGATTCTTCCTCTCAGACGAAAAACATGGAAGCATGGCAGGGGTGCAACTGAAATTTTGTTTTTCTGTAAAATTGACAGACAGTAGTAGCCACATTGCTCAGCCATGTCTTTGTCCAAATACGTTGTCGCCTTTTCTTTTCAGGGCTTTCAACACACAAAATTGCACAAATTGCTAAGTCAGCGTGTTTCCTTCTATCTTCATATTTAACAGAAGTAATTGACACTTCCGTCTTTTTCCTCTTCTACTCGTTTGGCTTCCGGATTGTTCAATAGTATGAGTAGCGCCATCTCACTGCGGAGCCGAGTCCGACATGGTTTTTAGACATGTATAGATCACATCAGAGCGTCGGGCCACACAGTGTGAGAGGAGGAATCTTGAGCTGTGAACTTTTAAACCCTGTGGTTTTGTTGTACAGTGTGAGCTGTAGCTGTGCTACGATTGAAAAAATCGTACAGCGTATGCCCGGCTTAAGTGAAAGATTATTCCAACCAAAATGAGACACAGACCCCCACTTAGATTGAATTAACTGAAATATTTATATTTCAAAAATTTTGAACAATTGCCCCAAAATCGAACATTGGAACAAACAACTAATTCAGTTCGTTCACTTTTCATATTCATTCCATTTCTCAGAAATTAATTCCAGAACTCGAAAAAAAAAAAAAGATAGGAATCTGCAGAACAAAATGAGAAATGTTTAAGCGGCTGTTTAACTCTATTTTCTATTCATTTCACAACGTAGTGGTGGTGAATAAGTGTGCCTTTTCAGGAAAACAAAATTCTTCGGATGACCCCAAACTTTTGAATGGTAGTGTACATATATATACACATTTACATATATATATACATATGTATATATATATATATATATATATATACATACACATACACATGTATATACATATATATATATAGATAGATAGATAGATAGATAGATAGATAGATAGATAGATAGATATACACACAGAAGAAGAAAGTTTTCTGTTTAGATTGTTTCCTTTCATTTTCTTTAATTTATTATGCCGTTGTACAGTTATTTCTGATTGTCAGCAACCTTTGCTTTTCCTGAGACCTACACAGCTGCCGCAGCATTATTGACCCTAGTGAGTTGCCGTAGTAGGTTGGAGGAAGCATACAATTTGCTGACAAGCTTGCCGAGCTTTCTTTATATGGTGAGTTACTATTTATTTTTAGGCAATTTATTAAACTAGATTTGAAGCTATGGCGTAACAGTTTCACCAAAGATAAAGCCGTTTTTTAAAGAATAAACACGATGTATCTTTTCTACACGTGTCGTTAGCGTCACACACCGTGTTAAATAGCCACTGACTACAGCTTTAAAGACCACTGAAAATGGTTTGATTTTTCACTTTGAGTACTTTTTATATCTCCGTAATCCGAGAACATTGACATATGAAGCTACTTCTGTTTATGTGTAGCCTGTTGTATTTTAGATAGAGTTTAAAGTATTCTTTTCTTTGCTCTGAGCAGGTAATTATCCACGATGACAGCTGCTGCCAACCTTCGCTCCATCTTTGATTTGAGCTTCAATGAAGAAGTTTTGAAGCTGAAGGAGGTCAATCCTGTCCTGAAGGAGACTGAACCATCCACAGACCTCACAGGTGAAACCAAACAGCTTAAAATATGAGAACAATATTTTCTATAATGAAACCCAAAAAAGGAATAATTGTATTTTAAATACTGACCAATTTTTAACAGAGGGCGTTTAATTTTAAGCATTTGTTTCTGCTGACTGTGATTATTATGAGTAACAGTTAATTCAAGCTTGAAAATCTGTTTCCCAGAGGATTAGAATATTACATAGGAACTATAAGAACTAAAGGTAAATGTTCTGCCATCACATACAGGTTGTTCTCAAAGTATTAGCATATGAAAAAGTTCATTATTTTCAACAATGTAATGATAAACTTAAACATTCCTATATTTTAGATTCATTGCACACTAACTGAAATATTTCAGGTCTTTTATTGTCTTAATTCGGATGATTCTCTAATAAGAACACTAATTTTTTGATAAGAATTTTTGAATTTTTCATGAGCTGTATGCCAAAAATCATCCATATTAAGACAATAAAAGACCTGAAATATTTCAGTTAGTGTGCAATGAATCTAAGATATATGAATGTTCAAGTTTTATCATTACATTATGGAAAATAATGAACTTTATCACAAGATGCTAATATTTTGAGAAGGACCTGCTGACCTGATGGCTGTCCAGCAGACAATTATTAACACCTCTTGGAAAAAAAGGTTAGACACAAATGGTCGATGCTAAATACTATAATAATGCAATAGTCTAGGAAAGGCCAAAAAAAAAAAACAAATTTTGAGAGTAATGTGCTGGTGAAGGCTCTCAGTCATCCAGGTCATAGTCATTCAAAAAAATGAAATTAAAAACAATCCCCTGGACTTAATTTTTTCCAAGTTTAAAGTTGTTTCGCTTCTCATCCAGGAAACTTTTTTTTGAACCATTTTGAATTGATAAAGCTTCCTGGATGGGAAGCGAAACTTCTTCAAACTTGGAAACTAAGTCAAGTGAATTCTTTCAATTTTTTTTTTTTTTGAATTTTGAGAGTAATGTGAAAGAAATCCAATTCCAGAGTTTGAGGGAAGATTCATAGAGCCGTACTAAGCTTCATACAAAGCTTTATGGGGGAAATAATGCTTAAACTGTAGCTGAATTTTTCCTATGGCATCTTTTCCCGGTATACTACATTTTAGCATTTCATTTGGGAATTAAGCTCCCAGATTCTTCAGGTTAAGCAGAGACAGTGATGCTTGATGAAGTAAGTGATAATTTGAATGCCATTTAGATCTGCTAGCCTTTGTCCACTTTGTCTAATCAACTTCAAACAGGACATTTTAAGGCACTTCTACTTCTTGACAAGCCAAGCTTTATGGAGATGCTGATATATAATCTTAGGCTGAAACAATTAATTGTGTTTAATCAATTATTTAAATAATCGTCAACACATGTAGTAATCGATTATTCGTTAACTGGAGTACAGAGACTCTAAAATGTGCCTTTAGCTGACAAAGCGACCCACTTAAACCAGTAATTATACCAATATTGTAATTTAAATATTTTTAAAATGTGCATCTGTGAATAGGCTCTATCCAGAACTCCTCAAGTGGAAATGGTTTGGTTTCACCTTGTTTAATATCCTAAAAATTCTTCTTTAAGGAACCTTTTGCTATCAGATTATTATAAGATTGATTTGCAAAATAATGGTTAGTTGCAGCCCTGATATATTCCTACATGACTTGGCTTTAGTCAAGTACTATTTAGTCAAGTACTATGACACCATAGGTACCATAACCCCAATGACCGTGATGCGACTAAACTTGAGTGACCAGCAAACTCGTCTGACCTGAACCCCATAGAAAATATATGTTGTGGTTTTAAAAAAGAGAAATTATAGAACTTTACTCTGATCCAGAAGCATCACATTGATACAGTAATTCATACAAAAGGATTCCAAACCAGATATTGAGTCTATATACTCCACAGTAGATGGACCTTTATATCAGTAGGCCAACATTTTTGTATTAAAATGTTTTATCCAAACGATCTGAGAAAGAGAATATAGAGTTTTCATTACTGCAAACGGATTTTAAATCTTAACAGAAATTAACACTTGAAATATATAACGAAATATGCAATGACTCTGCATTTCAGTATATCGGTATCCTTTCCGAAATAAAGTTTCCATGATATTCCACTTTATTGATACACTTGATCTTTTGCCTGGTCGTGTTAATTTGAGTTGTGCTTCATGTTGTTTAGGTGCGGAGGTTCAAGGTCCAGATGATGACAGGAAGAGAGAGGTTTCTGACAGAATGGTTTGCTCAGCCTGCAAATGTTCCTTTGTCAACAGAGAGGAACAGGTAAGCAAATCAGTTTAAAGATTGACTCTGACTCAGATTGGTTTATAGTTGCCAAACATTAGTTTTTTATTTTTATTTTGTTTAATTGGTTGCGTTTGTTTTGCAGAGGGAGCATTACAAGCTTGACTGGCATCGGTTTAATTTGAGACAAAAGATTGCAGGTTCACCCCCGGTCACGGTGGAGGAGTTTGAGACGAAGACCAAAGCCGGTAGGGAAACGACGCTGCTATAGGCAAGCTGTTTGTGTAGATATTACATATCCCTGATGTCAAGTTGTTTTCACCCACTAGTTCTCAATGAAACTCTCCTAAAAATATTTAAACCACTCTTCTAATTCAATAAAAAATTTTAAGTGTCCACTTAAAGGCTTTTTGATACACAAGTGGAAAAACTAATCTGATATCAAACACCATTTCATTCTAGCGTGCTCGTTAGCATTAAAATGGCTGGCCAATATTCTACCTGTAGTGCCCTTAAATGTTTGCAAGTAGTTTGACCAGAGATTCTAACCGAATGGCTAATAATATATAACAACTAACATTTTAGGGCAATCTACAGCGCTTGTGTAAGTAATACTACTACAGCCTTTAATGTGCAACTTTGTAACCAACTGACATTTTTAAGAGTTAACTGATATATGTCTGAAATATGTAATCATATTCTGGACATTATAAGTGAACATGTAGGCCAAAAGAGACTGTATTAGTCAACAAGGGCAAAATCCTGGCTCCTTTTTTGAGTTGCATTAATTTATTAGTACGGCAAAAAACAACAACATGCATGTCGTCAACTGTGCTAGCGGGGAACCTGTGTGTCCGTCACAGGTTTGTTGTTTTCTTTTAATACACACAGAATATACTATATTTTAGAAATAAAGTCAGTCCAAACAAACCTACACTTGGATGAAACTCTAATTGTTCCCCTAATAATCACTGTTCTTGCCTTCCCTGGTCTAAGCCATGTATTTTCAGTCATTTGCACTGAATGTTTAATTCTCTATAACTATGGAGGATTTGAGGTCACTTCTCTCAGAGGACGGTTTACCAGCATCACCATCGCGTTTCATTTGACAGTATAACATCTCCATTAAGAAGTCCAGACTTTGACAAGGTCTCTGTAGAAATGTTATTCAGAAGTAGGCTTGGTGTCCTGCTGCATAACCCAGATGTGTTTAACGTGAAGTTGCTAACTGAAAGCTACATTTTCTCCTTAATATTTTTTCAGTAGAGCAGAGAAATAATTTTCCCATAAATTTCAGGTTTGAAATTAGCTAATCAACCCCAGACCATGATACTACCATCACCATGCTTGCTTTAGGGTTAGGGATGCACTAACCCTATATGAAAATTGATGCACTTCTTTTTATTTATTTTATTTTTACACTTAATTTTTTGGGAAGAAAACCCTTCACTTTGACCTCGTCAGTCCAGCGATTATTTTAGGAAAAGTCTGAAAGAGTCTTTGAGCCTTTATTTTGTTCCTTTTGGTCAGTGTTGCATTTTTGTTTAGTCTGCCTCTTATTGTTGAATCATGAACCTTACCGGAGACTAATGAGGCCTGCAGTTTTTTTTTTTTTTTTTTTTACCCCCATTAAAAAGCAATGATCTGATTATTAACAAGCAGGTAGAATATTTTTAACAAGTTGCAGACTGTGGGTATAGAGTATGATATAGTCATGTACTTTCTTGGTCTATCCGCTGACCAGATTGTTAAAAGGCAATTTAGTTTTAGCTCTTGTGCTACAACTGCCCCTGTCAGTTGGCAAAAGTTGTATGTATGGAGCATAGTGAAGGCGAGGTGAATTCAGGCGAAATTTGTCTCACCTCAGGACTTCTGTCGCTCGTCTTCCCCCTCTCTGTTTCTGCCTACTTCCATTCTGGTCTATGAATAAAGGCCACTAGTACCACTAGATCTTTAAAAACTCTCCACTAGGAGTGTGTTTTAAACTAGTGGAGCAAAATATTGAGTTTTGTGAGAGCAGCTACCTAGCTGTTGCAGTGCTTTCCTGAAAATGATGGCTGACATCAAGGATCTCTAATATTTATACAGCTGGCATGCCATAGTTTAGACATTAACTGAGGGAAAACAAGGAAATATGCATTTTATTTTGTAGGAGACCTGTCAAGCATCTCCGGCTCGGAGTCAGACTCAGATGAAGATGAAGGCGACAGCACAGGAGGTGGGGGTAACATCATTGGAACGGAGGACGAGTGTTCAGCCGAGTCTATTTTAATGAATGGTCGGCTCTCCTGTAAGGTGCTGTTTCAGAACGATGCAGGAGAATATCTGTCGGTCTATCGCTGCGTGCTAATGGGAATGGTGAGGCTCAACAGGTTCAGCTCATGTTCAAATAACTTGTAATGCTACTTATTGTTGACGCATTACTTCTGGTCTCATATTTCAGTCAGATTCTGATGAACAGGATGCGGTTTCCTCTCTGAAGGCTATAAATCTGAAAACCGTCTGGGTCATTCTTATGACGGGTGGAGGACACTTTGCTGGAGCCGTCTTCGAAGGGTAAATCTGACCGTTTGTTCATTGTTCAGATCGGTGTCATCGTTGTCAGAAAAGGCTAAGAGATTCATTTTTATCAAATCTTCATGATGCCTGTTTTAGGAGGCAAGTTCTCCAACACAAGACCTTCCATCGATACACGGTGCGAGCAAAGAGAGGCACTGCCCAAGGGCTGCGGGATTCCCAGAACCGGAGCCACATGGCCAAATCTGCCGGAGCTGCTTTGAGGCGATACAACGAGGCCGCGCTCGTTAAGGCAGGTTCACGGTGGATCCACCTGCTCCGTCATTTATCTTTAGAAAACTGATATCTTCAAACATGCATTCAAATAATACAAATTAATTTAACTTTTTTCTTTATCATAGTTTGAATCCAATTCCCACTCCCTCAAATTCTTTTAATTTTATATATTTGATCTGTTTCTGTTCAGCCTTAGTTTGTTTTGTTGGGAATAAAAAACACTTTACAAACACAACCCAGCAAATAAAACATTATGCTGTTTAGAGTTTTTAACTCAAGCTGGATGATGAGTGAAACACTTTTATACTCTGCATGTTTTATTGTGTGCTGAGAATGCGCATGCATTGGAAGGAATATTGCACAAGATATATTCTGAAGAGAGGATTATGTCAGCCAAAGGAAAAATGATCTTCCTATGCTGTAAAGAACAGATCTTCAACATGGATTTCACAACCCACTAATTAGCTTTAAGTTTTACTTAGTTTTATTACAACTAGATTAACTGAAAACTAAAATGTCAGTGGATCAGATAACTTAAAGACCTGATAACGTCAGAGTTTGTCATTTCAGAAACCTTTCTGCTTCCTTTTGAATGACTTACTGCATCAAAGCGACCAGGAATGGACGAATTAGACCTGTGGCTTTCCCCTAGTCACTTTGACTGCAGCCTTCATTATGCATTGATGCGTTTTATTATTTGTTCTTTATCTTATGTCATATGTATGCTCTTTTCATTAGATGCAAATTAACACTTTAAATGTTTCCTTCTGTAAAATAAAGTGACTTTTTGATGATGTTCCATGTTAATGAGATTCAGCTTTCCTCTTTCCCTGCAGGACATCCAGGATCTGTTGCTAACTTGGGCCGAGCACCTGAACCGAGCCTCTGCCGTTTTCATTCGAGCACCCAGCTACAACAAGACCATCTTCTTCGAAGGCCGTGGGGGTCCACTGCAAAAAAAAGACCCCCGGATCCGTTCGCTTCCCTTCGCCACGCGCAGGGCGACGTTTCGGGAAGTGCAGAGAGTGCATGGCGTCCTCTCTACTGTTCAGGTTTATGGTACGTTTAGAGTGACTGCATGTTGTCTGGCAAGGCTGAGGTTAATAATGATCCATACTGTGACTGTGCAGGGAAGGACGCAGACATGTCTGCTGTTTTTAGTCCCTCCAAGAAGGGATGGAAAAACACGACCAAAGCTGCAGCACAGAAAACTGCAGCTGAGGAGAAAGGTGCGTTTTATGACATGAACGCCCCAATAAGCGAATCATCTAGGTATATTGAGCAACAATATTTAATTGGTTAAACATAAATGCAGATAAACTTCCGGCACCAGGGGAGGAAAACGATGAAAGCTCAGAAGAAGAGGGAGAGGAGACCCAACTGGAGATGGTTGAGGTCACAATAGGAACTCTGGACCTGAGAGAGTCTGAAATTTATCCCTCCAGGCACAGGAAGAGGAGGAGGAAAAAGAAGGAGCAAATCAAACTTCATGATCAAGGTTGGTATACTTTAATTAGACACTAGAAGGCTTTAAATGCGAGTTTTTTTTTTTTATAAATCCTGTATCTGGCAGAAACAGGAAGGATGGATGCAGGAGCAGGTGAGGAAGAAGAGGGGGAGCATGGGACTACACCTGCAGGAGAGGAGGAGGTTCCTGAGCAAGAATGTCCTGTAACAACAAGTAAGAAGAAACTGGAGAATAAAGATGGTGAGTATAGATGTATGTATTTGGCTGTTGTAGCATAATAATATAAATTAATTTAATCTGTTAAGTTTTTTTCTCTCTCTAGATGTTGATGAGTCGGTGGATTATGGCCTCAGGGATGCTCTGTTTACCGCATGCAAAGTTGGAGATGTTGGGACTGTTTGCAGTCTACTTCAGCTACCTCAGGAAATGGTGAACCATCCTGAAAGGATGGAGAATTTTCTCACGTCCCCTTTAAGCCTCCTAAATAAACCGATCGACTCATCAGGATTCACTTTACTGCACGTCGCAGCAGCAGCTGCACAGAAGGCTGTGGTCAGGCTGCTGCTTGATGCAGGAGCAGATCCTGCATGCAGGTATCAGCATCTGTAGATACATGCAGGGCTTTACTGATGTTTTTATAGCTGCCTCTTTACTTTTTGTTGTTACAAAACCATGAGATTCAACTATAAATTAAGCAACACATTGCTAAAATTGTGAGTAAAGATATTTAAATTTTTTTTTCTTCGAGACAAATTTAGGTCAATGTATAGTACTTGAAAAAACTTTGACTAGTTTATTTTTAGCTCCCTCAACTCATATTTTGAAGTTAGCATTACTTTTTAATTCCCCAAATTGCAAAAATATGAAATTTATAGCTTTTTTAACATCTAGGCTAAATCCATATCAACCCAAATTCAGGTTTAAACCATTAAAATAAAGAATTTAGAAGCCAAAATAAGAGAAATGGCTTTTTTTTTAATTATTGAAACAAAATAAGTGAGTTGAACAAAAAAATATTTAGTTGTAGAACTAAAACTAATCATCTTTTAAATAAGATTCATTATAAAAAGCCCTTTTGTCTTGTAGGAAGTGGAATATAATTTAAAGGACAAACATTTTTCCATGCTGACTCTTACATACTAATATTTTCAGGAACATCTATATAATATATAAAAGTTTTTGGTTGTCACCTGCTAAAGGACTTAACAATATTCCTTTACAGAGATAACAAATCCCGGACGCCGTATATTGTCGCCCCTGACAAAGACACAAGGAACGTCTTTCGTAAATACATGGGCGAGAACCCTGATAGGCACGACTACAGCAAAGCACAGGTAAGAACGCGGAGCAATTTCTTTGACTTGAATCACACTGAGGCAGAGAAGCTTAGTTTCCCTGCTGTGCAACTCCAGATCCCTGGGCCACTAACAGCAGAGACTGAATCCAAAAAGATGGAGAAGAAAAAAGCCCAGAGAGCTCAGAGAAAACAGCGGGAGAAAGAGCAGAAGGAGGAAAAGCGAAAACAGGAGTTGGAGGCAGAAGAGAAGAAAAGATTTGCATCTCTGACAGATCGGGAAAAGGTGGGAAAACATTTTGGCGTGATGTCTAGAAAACCAAGAAAGAACATGTTTAAGTCTTTCCTGTTTGATGACAGAGAGCTCTAGCAGCAGAGAAAAGGCTGGCAGAACAAGCAGCTGCATCAGGAGTCAGCCTGTCTAATGTCCAGTAAGTTCCACAAGGTCATCTATGATGATAAACAGGCTTAATATCAGAATGGAGTGTGCTTTTTTATCTGTGTAATTGTTCTCTTCAACAGGAGGTGCTGGTCTTGTGGAGAATCTCTGCTCGGAAAGATCCCATTTACCTACCTGGATTATTCATTCTGCACTCCACGATGCGTTCAAGCACATCGAAAAGCAAATGCTCCTCCAAGCAAGTCCTAGCAAACATTGGAAAGATGAATCTAGAAGGTTGAAACCTAAAAGCACAAGACTCTTTGGCTTGTTGAATATAAATGTTCATCTTTTTAATTAAAAATTGTAAATTGTTTAACACTAATCCATGTTTACAACTGTATATTATATATTTACACAATGTAAAGTTACAAATAATGGTGGGAAACTGGAATACAGATGATTATAAAAGCTGAAGATCGCCTGCTTTGATTACAAGTTCAAAGTAAAAGAAAAAAAAAGACAATAGAGCCAATAAAGAATTTGCAAAATTGAAGCAAAGAATATTTCCTGTTTTATCAGCATACATTGCTAAAAAAATAAACAGGGAAAAATGCAAGTTTGTTAATTTTCTGGAATATCGATCTGGTCGGTTAATGAAATTAACAGGTTCACTAAAGAGCCAGCAATATAAACAGTTATGGTTTTATAGGTGGAGACCCAGGACTTTCTTTTAACACATTTTTTCAGTAGTTTTAAATTTGAACAGGGTCAGTGTCTCTACTGATAGCAGGAGACATCACTAGGTAGTAGGGTTGTCAAAAGTATCGAAACTCAAAAAAGTATCGATACTTAAACGTTGTATCCGGATACAATACTCGTTTTCAAAAGTATCGATACAGTGCCACCACCAGTGGCACCTAAGCAGTCATTCATCTAAAGTGCAGAATAGAGGAAAATGCACGTTCAGAACACTGTGATTGAATAATTCTGTGCACTTTTCAGTTTCAGCCTTTTTTTTTGTAAGAGTTGCAGCTGCTGAGAATTATTTTTGTTTCTTAACTGGTTTGGCTAGTGTCATTGTTATGTGTGCAAAGCATAGCCAAGGAAGGAACACTTAATTTTAATTTCATAAGTTTTTATATCAAGCTTGCTTAATATTGTGCACAGCATACAACCTTTATTGTGTTTATTGTATTTTATTTATTAATGAAAATATTTCTGTAGAATTTTGGAGTCTTTGTTTTTATCCTTGTGGTATCGAAAATGGTATCGAGTATCGAATATTTTCCTTAGTATCGGTATCGAGTTGAAAAGTTTAGTATCGTGACAACCCTACTAGGTAGCTTCAGAGGATGCACGAGCAGCCTAACTCCTTCAGGAAGGATCAAGATCATGATTTCAGGAGGTAAACAGTTGCTCTAGTATAGCTGGACAGGCCGATCAGAGGTTCTTCCCCTGTCCTACCAGCAGTGCTAACTGGTTTCTGCTCCAGGTTCTGGGAGATGAGGGCCATCCTCTGCTGTTTACATGTTGTTCAATCACGTGGGGCGATACAGGCTGGGGACATTTTTTTTTTTTTATTTAGCAATAAATGTCTTCTATGATTTCTACTTAAGCGCTTTGTGAGTTAATTTTAATTTCCATCAAATGGTGTGGCACCCTTTAACTCCTACATTACTCCATACCAGTACAGATATCCAGCAGTTTTGTTTTTCCCAGTTGAGATCTCATCTCCTTTATTTTTTTCCGTGTATGTGTAGAGCAGTCAGGATTTCCCAGCCGTGACATTAAGCTGAGGTCGGTCCATAAAGAGAACTCGCAGGTGTGCTGGGGCTCTCTCCAACTCCAGTATTGTGATGTTGTTAGGCAGACTGGTGCTCAGCAGGGGTCCAGGTACATACAGAGTCTGCTGAGGGCCCCATGCTGGCCAGTATCGTCCCAAATTCACTCCATTAATCCAAACTTGGCCCTGATCAGGGAAAAGGGAGTTCTTATCATGCCCACATTTAAAATCTATTATAACTTTCCCCACACTTAATGGAACCTCTGGTAAACGTGTAAAAAACCTTAAATAGAAGGATCTTTTTTCAGTAGCGCAATCCACATGGAACAAAGAGCCAAATCTAACCTTTAATTGGAATACAAATATTTAGTGAAGGAATAGCATTAAGAAATATTTAATTTACAAAGTTAGTCATGCTGTCTAACGGCGCATACAGCTGGCTTTCTGATCCTCAGAAACTCCGGGTTATCAGAGAGTTCATAATGCCATTGCAGACCTGCTGCATATAGTTTATTTCCCCCCAACATTTTTTAACTTCCACCTGAAGTTAACTGTTTTCACAGAATCTTTCAAAAACGTCCTGGATCCAGATGGTTATGTCGATCATCACCAAAATGCAATCATTTGTTGCCATTCATAATATGCACAATTCTTTTAAAATTTCAGCAAAATCCATCCATACATTTTTTATTTTGAAAACAGACAACCAATGCAGATGAAAACATACCGGTAACCACCTTGACGGGGATAATATCCATCCAAACTAAAAGAACATAGATTCACCAACCACAGCAACTCAGTGGACATAGTTCAGGTTGACCAGAGATGATGCCAAAAACAAGATGTTGCCCTTTCTAGAATGTGCTGTGCACATTTAGGACAGTGGGAGTCTTAATACTGAGGTTCACCAGAAACCTACTCATATAGACCAATACCTTCATTTTATCTCTTTCTGGCACAAAAGCTCTCTGCTATCAGAACTCTTGAGTTACTAGCTGAAAACTTTCCTCCTATAATGGAGCAGAAACAAAAAGAACACAAACATGTAAGGAAATCACTTGAAGCATGTGGTTATCCAAACTATGTGTTTAAATTGGCCAACAAAACTAGCAGAAAGAACAACACTGCCTCGAACACAAAGGAGAACAAAACGTTGTTCCACGTGTGTCAGGAGTCTCTGAGAAACTCAAGAGGATTTCCTCTGAACATAACATACCAGAGGATTTCAAACCCAACAACACACTCAGACAAAAATGGGTTTATCCCAAAAACTGAACACCCTAACCTAAGCTGAGCAGCATTTTTTAAGTGATCCAGTGCAGAAACAAACAGCCACACAAAAACATGAGGCAGCACAGAAGAACCAGCAACTCTAGGTAAGATTCAGCTGTACGGTAACACCTTAACAACAGTGGACACACATTTGACAAGTAAAATGTTCAGATTATTGGACAAAGAGGACTGAGGGATTGAAAGAGGTATGAAGGAAAAGGCATCCCTGAGTGAGGGGGCAGGATTGCGTTTACCAAGCATTTACAATTTGGTCCTGGAAAAAATTCTGATCCATTTACATAAGCACACTCATCATGATTCAAATGCCCAAACACAAGACCCACACAAAACAACAGACTCCATCAACCCAGGAGGATGACAGGTGAGACAGTAATTGGCATCTTACTTGGAATATGCTCAGAAGGATGGAGTTCCATAGTGCTAAAAAGATCAGCGCTTCAACGACCGCAAGCTGACTGAATTGACAGACTTCTAGACAGGTGTTGAAATTTTTCCAGAATTTACCGCATGAAAGTTTTGATACCCCCAATTTAATCCTGCCTTGTGATAGAACTTCAATTACCCCCATTCCCAATCAGATTTTTTTATTAAAATGTAGGATTTCTCCAAATTTCTCATGTGGGAGGTCATTTTGGAGCTTTTTACACGTCTTTATCAGATGAGCCAGTAAGTGGGTATAGGGTACAATAGGAATGACATGAGGATTTACCTTTGTCCATTCATTCAGTTTGAGAAAAGTGTCCCAGGCTAGCCCGTTAGGTTCTAAAATCCCCATGTAGATTGTTGGCCCAACTGAAGGTTCTCTTTGTGAGGATGTAACAGCCTTCTGACTGGCTGAATGAGGCCAGCCTCTAGAAATGGCCCCATCAATGTCCAATGGGTAGATCTTCCAGTCTGTCAGGATGTCTTTACCTAAGATCAAGTTGCTCACTAGGCCCTAAAACACAGAAAACGTGTTAAGAGGACCCCCGCCAGTTCATGTTTATAGTTTATATCTGGTTATATATATAATTCATGTGGTTGCCTTGCCTTATAATCATTGATCTTGCTGCCAAAATTAACTCTACTCATGTTTTCAACGACAATATCCAGGGTGTCCCCCCGCCGTCCTGTTACACTCATCACAAGCGAAGTATCTCTTTGTAGCATCCCCTGGAAATCCTGTTTGAACACATTAATCACTCATTAGCTTCCAAAGGTACAACATACTCTACCTGGGTGTATAACATTAAGTAAGCTTATGTCAAGCCTGTGTTTTCCCTGCGAGCCTGGATGGCTAGACAAACAAAAGGTCAACATAAAGCCCTTACCCCATTGACTGACACATATGCACGGTCATGAACCCCATTCAGTGGAGATATAAGTGGCGTGGGCTCTGAGAGGTCCTGTGGCAGCGTGGTCCTATACAGCATGTATCCATAGTACTGGACACAATGAACACAGCAGACACAACAGTCTAGAAGTTTACTCTGATTAAAGAGGTCTACTGTCTCTGCACTGCTAGCTTGTTCTGTGTTGTTCCCCTGACCAGCACCATACCTGTTTCATCTCTTCAAAGGTCAGAGGATACTTGGATTGGACCGGCCCAAAAGGAGAAATTGTGTCTAGCAAACTGCTAATGTTGCCAACCTGTAAAACGAAATCAGAATCAGATATCCAAACATTTAAAAAAAAAATGTTCGCGAACTTGATTAAATTATACTACCCTTTGCAGTTTCACAAAGCCATAGGCAAACTTAGGAGTTGCTGGTGGCATGGGGCCGGAGGGGATGTCTCTAAACTAATCAGATATAATCACAGGTTACGTTCACACAAATCAACACGGACATCTCAGTAAATCAGAATATAAGAAATTAAGTTTAAAAAGTAATACTAAAAAAGTGCTATAGTGCTCTTCAGGAGTTTATTCCATTTGAGTATGGCTTACAGTGAAAGAAAATCCCAAATTTGATATTTCAGAAATGATTTAATTCTTACACCAGGCTACACATTCTTGGCAAAACTGATGATTTTTGCAGCAGACAGGGTAAACTTCAAAAGATCATTTTTGTAAAGACAAATCCTGCTCTAAAGGTAACATATCAAAGCTCAAGCTCTTAACTATTTTTGAAACTTCATAAACAAGAGTTTTTGAACGTTGGTACAGTTTAGCCCGCTATATTATACGATTGTAAATGTTATCGATATTAATACTCCAGGACTGACAATAGAGAATGATGTATGACCTATTAAATCCCCTGTATTTCAGAAAAGGAAAACCCTTCAATCAAAAAAAGCAGGAGTCCTGCTGTCTGAAGAAGTGAGAATGTTCCATTTGTGATCCCAATCTGAATTGTAATACACCTAAATTCTATTTATTTTAAAATAAAAAAAGTTTAAAAATTTCGATTTGGAAACTAATTAAAGGAAATATATATTATATACAAAAACGTCAATGGGTCA